TTGCAGTGGGAGCTAGCTACGAAAAACCCGCGGGCACTCCGCCGACTCTTAAATCAGGTCAAGCGGAAGTCACGTGGCTTCTCAGAAGGCCGCTCCACCCTGGCGGCGGCCCCAAGAGGACTTCAGAGGCACCCACTGAAGGTGGAGAGGTGTTTGCCCTTCTCCGTCAGATAAGGGACCCTCGCCCACAACCACAAGTTTCCAAGTCAGCCAGAAGCAAACCCAGGGGCCAGCTCTTCTGAGTGACTTGGGCTATGTGGCACATCTTCTCTGTCAAAGCGGGGACCATCTGCCGTTCCTGGAAGCAGTATTGGGAGGATGGGCTGGGACAGTCCAGGTTAAACACCTTGCTAAGAGACTGGCAGCTAGGGAACTCTGTCTATACTGTGCTTCCCACCCAGTGGGTCTCAGCCCCAGCTGAACCTATCACCCACATGGCAGCTCTTGGCTTGGGGAGGGGCACTCAGCGATGTCTGCAGATGTTTTGGTTTGCCACCCACACACCTGCAGGGGGAGGGGAGGAGCTGGTAGAGATGTTGCCAAAAGTCTAGAGCAGTGGTTCTCACCTTCCTAATGCCGAGACCCTTTCGTACACTTCCTCGTGTGTTGTTGATCCCCCAACTGTAAAATTATTTTCATTGCTACTTCATCACTGTCATTTGGATACTGGTATGAATCGGGCGAGCCCTGTAAAAGGGTCGTTCGACCCCCAAAGGGAGCACGACCCACAGGTTGAGAACCGCTGGTCTAAAGCATACTTAGAGAGCTCACTGCTCCCCACAAGGACCTATGTGGTCCAAGATGTCAGCGGTGCTGACTTCCGGAAAGCTGCAGCAGCCCCCTACTTGGCCGAGTTCCTCACTCTACACAGGACCCCATTCTGTGCTGTCGCCGCCGCACTTACAGTGAGCCTGGAGGAACGCTCCAGCGGATGTGGTCGTTCTGCCCACCGGACATGGGACACAGGCGGAGCCACCTGCTCGTTCTTGGTAGAAGCCAACAGGGCAGGGAACACACTGTCCATCCTGGAAATAGCTTCCTTCAGGGCATTCCACTGGGAATAAAAAGAAATGGTGAGTTCCAGAAATCTGCCCCAAGGCTAATTCATTTCAAGTTTTGAAGACATCTATTGACAAGGGACACCATGCCCACTCTTGGAATTGCAGGCAGAGGTAGGAAGAGGCTGACAAGCTTCCTGCACCCCAGGAATGGACACGCTGCTAGTAGGAGGGAGGGCGTCAGCCAAGAACACCAGATCAAGGGGGGAATGAAGCCGAGCAATGGGGCAGAGTCATTGAAGAAGGAGACACAGGAGACTTGTGTAAGGAGGAGCCAGCCAGGCACAGACCCGGGGGAAGAGTCCCAGGAAAAGTGGGCAGCATGTGCAAACACCCCGAAAGTCAGAATGAGCTTGGATGGTGCGGGGCCTGGAGAAAGCTGAGTCAAGGGAGCAAGATCTGAGTAGCCCAGAAGAAGGCCAGGAGACAAAGCCGGAGCAGCCCCTGGACACATGAAGGTCCACCCAGAGGCCCCCACGTGCCCCAAAGTGAAGGGTGCGGTGTCAGGTGGTAGAGGGCGGGCTTTGAGTTTGGACCGACTTGGGAGGGTGCCATGCCCCACTCTTTCCTTGAGGTTCCTCTCCTCCTGTAGGACAAGGCTCTGGAATTCAATGTCACCGGGGCAGAGCAGTAATGTGTGTGAAGGGCACATCCTAAGGTCAGCTCCACAGATCTCTCCATAGGCCACCTAGCACACCTGGTCTCCCGCTCCCTCCTGGGAAGACAACTGCTCAGCGCCCTCCCAGCAGTTAGCCCAGCGTCCCAGACAAATTGCCGTGGTGGTGGGGGTTCATTGCCCTGATGTCAATTCCCATCCACGGTGATGCTGCAGGTATCAGATTTTGCAGGCCCCCCAATGGTCCAGCCAATGTTGGTGTAGCAAGGACCCAGAGTCTGAGTATGGGCTCAGCATGGCTGAGTCAATTAGAAACTCAAGCCACATCTTGGAAACTGAATGGCGTGTTTTTCCGGTCTACGCTGGGCCACGAAGATCCTCCCTCCGAGAGAACAGTTTCGTTCCTTCTATGAGTCAGGCTGCTGACGATCGTCCCTTGAGTCTCCAGCCCAAGTGTCTGGTTCTGCGGTCAGGGAGGTGGTCCTCAAAGTCACTGCCAAAGGACAGGGCAGGCTTCGCAGCTGCCTGAATTGCCTGACCGCCAAAAGGCAGCAGGGAACTAGTCCATCAGCGCCCGGAGCCCGGGCTGTGCTCACGGGTCATGCGACCTCTTCCCTTGCGCCATTTCTCCTCACCTCTGAAGGCAAGAGTCCTTCCCCCCAGAGAAACATGTTCATAGCTTACAATGAGCTGGGGGTTCAGGCATCACCTCCTCCTCTCCCCTGGGTGGGGGCTACTGCGATAACTGAGTGCTCATCCCTCAATAAAGTCACTCAGTCACAATCACCAAAAACCCCCCTGGACCTCAGTTTCCACTTGTGTAAAATAGGAGAACTCCAACCAGTTGAAATGTGGACATTTCTCAAATGCCTCCCCCCTGCCAGCCCTCCCCTTCAGCCCACACACACAGTGGCAGCCAGGTTGCTACTGAAGAAAAAGAAATCTTTGGAGAAATATGGTCACTCTCCCCAAGTTCCACTCCACCACACACTCGCCAACCTCAAGTTCTTCCATGGGGTCTCTCACCAATCCAAGCCCCTTGCTCCGGTCCCCATGGGTGATCTAGACACCAGAGAGTAACTGGAATGGACCCCACCTGAACTGCAAGCAAAGTCCCATCACTCTACAGTGACTAATTTCACGGACAGTGACTCTGTGCCCCTTAAAATCACATGGGATGGACATTCCCGCTGTGCCTCCCTCCCATCCCCATCATGCCCTCCAGGGTGACCATCCAGATGAGCCCCACACCCCTAAGAGATGGTATACAGAACCCTGACTCATCTTCATAGGACAATACTCTGCTTCTAATCTCCTAGCTGTGTTCCAGATGTGGCCACATTTTAGAAGGAAAAAAAGCAAGAAGCACGGCCCCAAAGACCTGAGGACCTGGTCGCTCCAAGAATCCCTTCGTTGAGAGAGGAGTTGTGTTTTGCAGAGGACAGAACCAAGAATATGAGGGTAGACCAATTGGAATTCCAGTCTCAGCCCTGCCAATCAATCATCCACCAGGCTGTGGGCCTATGGGGCTGTGGGCCATTAGCTGCCAGTGTGTGCTGACCACCAGTTAACTCATGCCACCCTCACAACCACCCCATAAACCCAAACACACTTCCAACAAGTCCATTCTCTATAGCACAGGGTGGAAATGCCCCTGTGTGTGAGACTGAAACTCTTTATGAGCATAGAAAGCCTCATCTTTCTCCTACACGGTGGCTGGTGGTTTTGAACAGCTGACCTTTTGATGAGCAGCACCAGGAGTAACCAAATGACCCCCAGCGATGCCTTCTTTCTAATCCTGCAACTTGTGAATATGTATGCACCTGGCATGCACGCATAAATAAATAAATAAATAAATAAGGTAGCAAATGGAATCCAGGCTGCTAATCAACTGGGTTAAAAAAAAAAAGAAAAAAAGATGAGATCAGCCTGAATTATCTAATGTCATCTCAGGGTCCTTAGAAACAGGTGAGTGAGGCAGCAAAGAGGTGGAGGGAGATGTTGCTAGAGAAGAGTCCTCAGTGAGAAGAACCTCTGTTGGCACTGAGGACGGAGAAAGGCCAGGAGCCATGGAATGTGGGCGGGCTCTAGAAGCTGAAACGGCAAGGCCACGATCCCGCCCCAGATCTTCCAGAGAGGGACACAGCCCTGCCGCCATCCTGACTTGAGCCCAGGGAGAGTCGAGCCCAGGCTGACCTCCAGGACGAAAGGAGAGGCCATTGGTGCTGGGGGAAGCCACCCAGCCAGGGATAATTTACTACGGCAGCTAGAGGGAGACAGTACAGCTTCTGATTAGGCTTGATCATTTTATCCCAGTGAAAATGGCTGTCCGGGGCTGTGTGTGTGTGAGCGTGCAAGCGTGCATGTACCAAAAGAACCACAGGGAACCGCCAAGAAGGATCCATTCTCCAAGGTCTTCAAGTCCAAGGCTGGAAAGCAGACATTTGGCGTGGGGGGAGGGGGAGGGACATTGTTGTAAGCAGAATGAGAAATGCCTACGAGAACCCATGGTGGATACCGACCTTCTGCTCAAAGCCCATGCACTCCAGGTCGTAGGGCCTGTCAGGACCGAGCAGAAAGGGTCACATCCAGCCTGGCTCTTTGAGTACTGTGTCATTTGTCCCGTCACTCCACCTACTGCCCAGTGGGTAAGGGCTGCATACCACACAGACTGGATCGTTGGGAAAGAAGCGTGTGCTGACTAAATCAGCCAAGGGCTCTGAACTAAGGAGTGATCCAATTGCATCAAAACTAGCCCAACAGCTTCATTCCGGGAAGTGGGTTTGAGTCCGGAAGCTGCACTGCCTGATACCCACCAGCTATGAGATGCTGGCATTTCAGGTACCACCAAGGGCATAACTTCCAGCGTCCACGCAACACACAAGCCGACGCAGCACAACACGTTGATGGGTGAGTGGAGCTTCCAGACTGAGACAGGCTGGGACGAGAGGTCTAGAGATCTTCTGAAGATGAGCCATTGGAAACCCTACAAATCACAGTGGGATGTTGCCCCTGATGGTGCTGGGAAAGGAGCCGCCTGGGTTACAGGGCACTGACATGAAACAGTGGCCACGCAGACCACGGGACACGAAGCCAGGCAACACTCTGTTCTGTGTTCCATGGGGTCCCCATGAGTCATAGCTGAGGACAGTAGCAGCAGGAAAGGACAGGACTCACCACATCCTAGTGCATCCCGGCCGGCTGGGCTGGTGGCTGGCACTCTGTAGAAGCCGTCCATGCACCCGAACTGTGCCCTGGGAGAGGGGCCAACGTGTTCCCCTTGGAGGAAGCGTATGGAAGTGTCTGCTGGGAAAGTCTTCGAATCCAGGTGAAGCTGGAACTCCCCGCTTCGGATCAGATCTGCAAAGCGCCCCACCAAGTCCTGGCCCACAAAGGCCTCCTCTGTCAGACACAGGATGGAACAGAAGGATTACCCCCTTGTTCTCTGCAAGGACCAGAGAGGGCCAAGGGGACAGAACAGCCACGAGGAGGGGGTCTTTGGCATCATCTGAGATGAGCATCTGGGGTCCTGTTTTACAAAGGGGACAACTGAGGCCCAATAAAAGGGGCTGACTGCCCCAAGCCCACATGATGAGGCTGCAAACCTGGGTCACTCAGCTCTGGTTATTTCTTGTGGTCTCCGGTGGTGGTCCATACTGGCTTTGTCTGCCATGTCTTCAGTCACTAGTGAATGAAGGCGCTTGTCCATCTCAACCTTTGGTGAGCCACCTGACATCCCCGAGCCTCCTTTTCCCCATGGGCAGGAGGAACCTGGGCATGTCCCTCTCGCCACCATTGAGGACCACAGGACATAATGTGTGTGGAGGTGCATCTCAAAGGGAGGACAGAAGCTCCACAAGGCTAAGTGATATTCCACCTTAGGGTTGAACTCAGCTTTGAGAACACCTTCAGCTCGGCGAATGACAAGCATTTCCTAGGAAGAAGGTGCAGAAGCACCATACCAGGGGGGGTCCCAGCGAGCAGCCCACCTCCTTGCTTCCACTGGCTCCTGGGAAGGCAGCCCATGACCCAACCATAGTTGCCACTGTTTGCACAGGTGAAGTCAGGAATAAACTTCCCCTTGACTGCACCTTCAAACACACCCGTGTCACCTGGACTCTGTGGAGGAGGAGGGCAGGAGGGCCTCAATTCATTGTGCTGAGGGGAGTAAGCCTTCATGCAGATGGGTGCCACAAGAACCAAGCCCCAAGGGAATCAGCCTCCTGAGTTCTACTCTGGCAACATTTTCCAAAAGTTCTGGTCAGGAGGCGCTTGGCCACTGGTTGACAGAAGAGAAGGCACCAGGAGCTGGTGCTGCTCTCTGGTCAGAAATGCGTGGTTGATTTCCTGCCCGGCCAGGAAGCTCAGAGCTCATACGGCCCATGGTCCTATTACTTCTCCTCAAATCTGCACTGACTTTCTCCTTAGAACTACTTGCTCTGACTCACCAGCCTCAGAAATCGTGTGGTACCCAGAAGCAGGCCCACCACCACTGCGTTCATTCTGATTCACAGCGACCCTGGAGAGGACAGGGTAGAACTGCTTCTGAGGGTTTCCAAGATGGTAACCAGGGCTCCTTAAATAGCGCTGGAGTGTACTGACAGAGTGAAAATCATGTGGAGATGCCTCCTATTAGAAGCTAGTGGGACCTAAATGCAGCCCAGTGTGGCCTTCCCCACCTTTGGCTACTCTCCTCTCTGTCAGACTCTGGGTGCCCAGGAAACCCAGAGAGGATCAGGCGACGTCCACAAGAGCACAGCCAGGCTCGCTGTTGTCCACAACGCTGCTGAATTCCACTGAGCTATTGACTGGCATCTACTAACAGGTCTGTGTTTTAGGACTTGGATCCTTTCAGGTGCTAGGACCTTACCTCTCCCCCGGGCTTGGTCACCTCCCTGAGCGGAGATGAGGAAACTGAGCCCAAGAAAGGCGGTGTAACTCCTTCAGCGTGAGAAAACCTACCGATGTCCTGCACGTCGGGAAGCAAGGCTGCCGGGATGTCCTCCAGCCGAGATGTCCACGTCACATTCACGCCCAGCCGCTCCGTGGTCGCGCAGCCCACCTGCACTGTAGACTCGTCGCAGACAGGGATGGACACAGACGACCCAAAAGTCTTCACCTGCACCAAGATAAAGGCTTTCCATTCAAGAGCAGTAGGCCAGAGTTTGGGGAGCCCACATCAGGCACCAGGACTGGACTGGTCCCTCCTGCCTTAGGGGATAAGGTGGTTGTCACCCTGCCCACCCACTTTTGTGAGTAATAGCGCTCAGTACAGCCTGCTCCCGGAGGACAGCTTCCAAAGGCATCCCTGGAATAAGAGTCGAGCCCTAGGCATAGGAAGCCCCAAAGTTCTTGAATTCGTGTCACTGAGCTGCAATGCTGGGGACCGATGTCGCTGCTTGCATGCTCACAACACCTATATCCAGGGGAGCACAAATCCCCCGGCCCAGAAGGCCTGTAGCCTCCACAGCTGCTGTGATTGGGCTGACCTTCCTCTCAGCCTCAGCATGGCTGCCACAGTACACCTTGTGCTCTGTGAGCAGAGAGACCGCAGGCTCCTGAAGGGCAGGGTGGGGTCAAATATTTGTGAGGTCCAGTGAGCCCCAAGCAAGGCTGGATCCAGGTTCAGGGCTCCAGAGAGCTTCCCAGGCCCCTGTGCACAGTGTCCTCTTCTAAAGACCACCTTCCCAGGTACTAAGACACACACTCCTGAAGGAAGTCTATCTATACACGCCTGGACATCTGGAGGAGCGGGGAGACCTCTGGGGGGATCGAGGTCCCTCTGAGGGGAAACAGAAGCACCTTTCCCCAAGCCACAGTCGAGGGTGGATGTGACCTTCGGCATGAGAAACTTCGGCCATCTTCCTGGGGTCAGGACAGGGGCCTCAGAGCCGCCCACCTCGGAAATAGACCTGGTCACTCGCTGTGGGTCAAGGAGCCATCCAACACATGCTGGATGCTCCCCAAGCCCTCCCAGTCCCCCCACCCCCTACAGGATGAGCTGGTGGAGGGGGTGGTATTTAGGTAGCTGCCACTCAACCCTTAGGGAGGATCTGCCACCTGGCAGACACTCTGTATAATTACATGCAGAAGTATGGTGTGACTTTTCAAATATTTTCCACCAGTCAGTTCCTGTGTGAAGTGTCCTAGGTATTTTCGTGAGTTCAGGCTCTAAAACAAACCCCCGTGTTACAGCTGGGGAATCACCTCGGAGAAGCTGAGACCTTTTGCCTGCCTGAGATCACAGAGGTGGAGCTCCTGCACCCCGAAGACACCACCCCCCAAAACCTTGGGAAAAGCATGGCCCATTCTCCCACTGAATCCACATCCTCAAGGCTGGGGTCACTCTCCTCCTGCAGAGGTGACTGCTGTGAGGCTCAGACGGCTGGTGAAGGCCCTCGTCACACAGGCAGGAAGTGGTGTCTCACTCAGACACCTGTGTGTCTCCAGCTCTTAAAGAACCAGACCTGTCCCAGATCTGACCAGCATGCTGTCCAGGCAGCTCTCCACACCAGGCCAGTCCGTGCCCAAGCTTCCCTTGGACCCCACCTCAACCTCCAGCAAGACCCTCAGCTCGAAGGGACCCAGGATTCGGGAAGATTCTGCTCCTCACTGGGCAGGGGTTAATTCTTCAGGGCAGTGAATGGTGGCATCAGGCATTGCCCTCAGGGACAGAGCACGAGGGAGTCCTTGATGGGGTTGTCCCTTGCTCTCACGGGCCCTTCTTGCTGGGCCAGTCCTGTCAATCCTGCCCCCACCCCACCTCCGTTGTCCCAGATTCTTCAGCCTCTCAGTTTACACTGTCACCAATCCCACCCTCCGCTGAGACCACTTCCAGAGGCCCCCTACCGTTCTCCACCCAGGCACCGGAGTATGCTTTAAGATCCCTAACCACCCATGCTGCTCTCTTACTAGGACAAGAGGCATGCCCTCCTCCTCAATGCCCCCTGCTCTCATGCCCCACCCCCACCCCAGGTTTTATGGGCACATTCCCATGAGAGGAGCCCTGCCCTTTCTGTTTCCTCTGCAGACAGAGTTTCTTCCCCTCTGGCCACTAGGCTCCCACCTCCCCTCCCACAGGGCCCCAGCCTAGCCCCACCTGTCCCCAGTGGAGGGACTCTGGGGCCTTGGGCTCCTGCTTGGACTGCGGGAGCTCATCCATGCCAAGGGCCCCAGGGTGTTTGGCATGTAACAAGGGCTGGATACACACGTGACGACTTGATCCAGATACAGGGCAGGGAGCCTTTTGATCCACCAAGGGCTGCTGCATATCTGTAACATCATTCCTGGGCCGCCCTGATGGTGCTAATTACATCAGTTCCCGCCAACTTGAAGACATATAAAAGTGTAGGGGTGGCACCCAACCTGTCGACCAGGTCACAGCCTGATGGTGCCTCCTTGTGGGTGTGGCCTCCTTCTATAAGGAGGGCCCTGGGGAACCTCCCCCTCTCTCTGCCTTCACCTTCCTGCTGCCGGACCTTGTTGCTGCGGGCCCCGTGATGCATCCACCACCATTGAATCCACAAGACTATGCCCACCAGCCTGTGATCTCCCTGCATTCAGCATCATTGCATGTGGCTGCGTGAGTCTGAAGAGGGACTGATGGACTAGTATCGGACTTAGGGACTTGATCTGCACGGGGATGGGATGTTTGCTCTCTTGATACAGAATTACTTCTTGCTGTACAGCGCTCTCTTACACATATATGAGCGTCACTAGATTTGCCTCTCTAGTCAACCCAGCCTGACACACTGATCAGATATTGAGCTAACTCACCCCTCACGTGATGGCTGCCTCTCTGATGAGATGTGTGATGTTCGCTGGTATTGATGGTTGTGGGAGTCTGAGGACTGAACTTTCCCCATCCCTGATCTAGAAGAAACGGCCGAGAACGGGCCAGTGGGCAGCCCACCTCTGCCAGGAGTAATGGCTTTGATCAACTGGCTTTCCCAATTGGAACCTCAGTTTCTCCACTGGTTCACAGTAGTGACGGTTCAACCATTGAAGCCCCGAGCTCGGTGATGCTGGGCCCCTGGTCGGCGCAGGCTGGGCTGTACCTGGATCTCACAGAAGCCGCGGGATGTCAGCTCATCCAGCAGGAAGACCTGGAAGGCTCGCAGCAGGCCCGCGTAGTCGGCGCTGCACATCTTGCCGGGAGGGAGGTGGAGCTGGAACTGAGCCTCTGTCTGCACCGTCTGCCAGGGCTGCACCCCTACGGGCAGTACCAGAGGTCAGCAGGCAGAGGTCAGGGGTCAAGGGTCCCTTCTGTGTTTGCTTTGTCCACCACATGGACGACCCTCCCTCCTTTCACTGCAATCCATCCGGCAGTCCGTCGTCACACAGTGCAAGCCCTCCATGTATCAGAGCACCCAGTCCTCCGAATCAGGGTGCCTTCCATTTGAGGGGGAGGGGAGCCAGAACCACAGCTTGCTTGGAAACCCTTCCATGAGCATCACTCCCCAGGGCAAACATGCCCACAACCAGGACCATTGCGCATGCTACTGCAGTAAGGAGCAGGTACCACGTCTATGGGGAACGGCAGCTCCCAGGGTGGTCCAGTGCACAACCTGCATGACCGGACACAGCGGCCTTGCAGCTGTCTGCTTACAGAGCTCAAGATCCAAGCCTCTCTTCCCCGAAGTCCTGGGTTCCTGGTCCCAGTCTGGATTGCCATTCGGGCCGCCCAGAGGCAACTATAAGAACGACCCATTTGTTTGTTCAAATTGCACTTGGAACTCTACTCTGGAGGGGGCTTTGCAACAAACCCGCCCTCTGACACTTTGCTAGGCCTGGGGTCTGGCCTCTTTCCCAGGAGTCCATCTGGCTGCCTAGTGCCCAGGCAGGTCTGACTGTGAGTGGCAGGTGGGCGTGGCCAGAAGGGGGGTCAGTGTGAGGGCCCCACATTGAAACAGGCCAGGATAAGCCTGCCTCGGGGCTTCCACTGAGCGACACAACAGCCCTGCAGGTGCAGGCAGGCACAGGAGAGAAAGTGGTGCTGGTGGTCACGTTCAGGGGCCAACGCGGTCTTCCTGAAGCTAAGACACACCAGGACAGCTCAGAATGAGGAGCCAGTAGCTCCAGAGAGGACACAGTACCACCTGTCCCTCCCTCTGGAAGATGTGCCATCCGGCCTCTCTGCTCCTTGTGCCCACGCTGAACATACATGTGTGCCACCTTGGCTCTGACAGGTGAGTGACCAGAAGTCCGCAGGGGGCAGGGGTTGGGTGGGAGCCACATACTCTGGCAGGCGTGGGCCGGGGGTGGGCCTGTCTCCCAGCGTCTGTGCCCTAAGCTGCACACCAGGACCCTCGGCGGGAAGGCGCTCTGGAACCCCTGGCGACACTTCAGCTGGCAGCGCTGGACGGCAGCATCTCCGGGGCCTGAGTCCTCCTCACACAGGACCATCCCGTCAGCGATGGCGGCCACAAACGGGAGCGGACACTGCGGACCTGGGAGACAGGGGAGCAGCAGGTAAGGGCTGGGCCCTGGCAACTTCCCCTCTGAGGGACTGCTCAGCCCCCTACCCCTCTTCCACTTCCCCACCCCCACCCCACGCCCACGAGAGTTCAGTCTCTCACTCTCAAAGGACCCCAGCCTGGGCCCAGTTGAGATATGCACGACCCACGGCCCAGGATGCCCCTTGGGGAGAGGGTCCCCCACTTACGCTCACAGGTGGGTTGGCTCCCAATCACTCGGGTCCCAGGAACCTCTTCCCCATTGTCCAGGATGCACCAGCAGCTGCCTCCGACCGGGTCACACTGCACTGGGGAGAAGCCCCCGGGCCCTGCCTCACAGGCTGGGGTGTAGCCTGGGCCAGCCCTCCTTGCCAGGACTCTGCTCCTGAGCGCCTCGCAGAGGCTGGGGCCTGGCGCGGGACAAGCAGGTCAGCTCAGGGCACCAACTTTCTACCTGCTCCCTAAACCTACATGACTATTCCAGGCTACGTTCCACCTCCATCTCACTCTACTCACCTCCACACCCACCCACCTCCATCCAACATCACCTGCCTACAGGGCCCTCTAGGGGCCTGGGCTGTCTCCTCCCAGGGCGATGGACCGCTCAGCTCTGCACCCTCCCCTTTGCCCACCTTCACGGAGTCTGAAGGCAACATCAGTAAGGGCATGGGCAGTTAAGAGTTCAGGGTGTCAAGTGTGATGGGGAAAAGGCCCAGGCCCTTTAGTGCCATGTCAGCACCCACCACTGGTCTTGGAGAGGCAGAGGAAGGCTGGGCAGGGGCGGGCAGAGGGCTGAGGGGGGTACTGTAGGTGGCAGAGCAGTGTTGTGGCGGCTCAGGAAGAGGGGGGCCACACAGACAATTGACTCACGGACACCGGTACTGAGCTATGCCCACAGGATCATGAAGTGTGAGGGGGCTTGAAATGCCAGTGTGCCCTGAACTTGACCCTGAGGAGAGGGGCAGCAATGGTTTCCTGTAGAAAGGGGACCCCTCCTCCCCTGCCTTTTCTGCACATCCTCGCAGACAGAGGGCAGGAACCAGATGGAAACACAGGGGGCTGGCGGGAGCCCACTGAGACTTTAGGACCATGAGGCATCACCCCTTGGAAGTATCATTGCCCACTTCAGTGGGCACAGTGCTGGTCCCCACTTCCCAGGGACAAAGCCCAGCCCAGCCCTTACTACCCCTGTTCCTCCTGAGAATATGTGAGGGGGTGGGCATTGCCCCTAGTCTAGAGGTGAGGCCCAAGGGGGCCTCCATGCCCACTGCTCACTGGAGAAGTAGGTGACTCACATGGGGCATCACTGCCTGCTTCCTGGCCCTCGCCCTCTCCGGACATTGGGTCCACACACCAGGTGCTGCCCTCGGATTCCTGCAGCCGGGCAAACTCTCCTGTCTGAGACAAAACCCAAGGCACAGGATCATGCCCCCCAAAACAACTGGCGGTGATCTCCCGATGGAGCATGACAGGGGCTAGGGATGAACAGATGCCGTGTGGGGTGGGGGGTGGGGGGAGCCCATCATTTGAACTGTTGGTCACAGCAAGCCAGAAAGCAGGGGCTGCAGGAAAGGACAGCCAGCCAGCAAGTAGCCTGGGTCCTCACATCCATCGCTGACCTCAGCCACAAGGCCTGCGCCCCAGAGAAAGGATGTCCTGATACTCAGGACAACACGACAAACCCTGCAGGCAGGGCAGAGAGTGAAATGGGCAGTCAGCAAAGGGCCAGTCATGTCCCCGCACTAATAGGAAACAGCAAACGCATTGAACTCAAACTCACAGAGCTGATGCAGACTCACAGCGACCCTATAGGACAGGATAGAACTGCCCCCTGGGCTTCCAAGACTGTCACTCTTCATGGGAGTAGAAAGCCCCGTCTTTCTCCCGCAGAGTAGTGGCTTTGAACAGCTGACCTTCTGGTTAGCAGTCCAACTACTACAGCAACAATATACAAGGGGGTACCAAAAATACACAGAATCTCGTTTGGGTCAGAGGGGAGCTTTCGTGGTACACATTTTTCGTGCTAGGTGAGCATCAAGCAACTCGCTCTGAGTTAGTGCATCCAGTGGTGTCTCATTGGAAGGTTATTTCTGGTCACAGTGAATTTTTAAGTCAAAGCAGTTTTGCTCCAACCTCATTTTTTGTGATGGCCAATTTAAGAGAACAGCGTGTGGCTGTGAAATTTTGTTTGCTGCTCAAGAAAAATGTTGCAGAAACTATTGTGATGTTGAACACAGCTTACAAGGACATATGAGTGGTTTTCTCATTTCAAAAAAGGTGAATTGTCTGTTGATGACAAACCTTGTTCTGGATGTCAATCAACTTCCCTAACAGATGAAATACGGACTCGTCGTACATTTGGAGTTCATTCCACCAGGTCAGACTATTAATCAAGCTTTCTAGTTAGAGGTTCTGAAAATATTTTGTAACAGTGTGCGACAAAAAAGGCCTGATTTGCCACCACAACAATGCACCTGCTCATGTAGCTATCTCAGTGAGCCAGTTTTTGGCAAAAAAAACAGCATGCTTCTCTTGTCCCACGCACCTTACTTGCCTGACCTCACTCTGTGCGACTTCTTTTTGTTTCTGCGAATGAAGAGGGATATGAAAGGACATAGATTTGACTACGTAGAAGAGGTGAAGAAAAAAACAAGGGAGGTGCTGTCAACCATCCAAACAGATGAGTTTGAAAAATGCTTCCAAGAACAGAATTGTAGACTTGACAAATGTGTGAAGTGTGATGGAGAGAGGATACTTTAAAGGTGATAAGGTTGTTTTGTAAATAAATAAATAGCTTTGAAATGTTTTTCCCGTCTTTTTTTTTTTTTGGGGGGGGGGGTTACACCCTCGTATAGTGAGCAACAGATGCCCCGTGGGAGGGATGGGAAATGGGTGGAGGTAACGGCTGCACAAAGGCTGCACCTAGCTAGGTAGCAGTTATCCTCCAGTGGAAACATGAAATAGCCTAATATTTCCATTCCAAAGCCCTGGTGTTGCCGGGGCCAAGCTCACAGCAGCCATTGGTGTTGCCAGGGATTGGATAACGGTACGCAATGCTTTACCGCTGCCCGAACCTCAAGAGGACCAGCTTCCTCTGCACCCTGATAGCTCTGTACTGCGGTGAGACCAGAAAAACAGTGCACTTGCTGTGTTAAGCCTTGATGTAATGTGCAAGGAATGATGCAGTAGTCACCATCGCTGCCTGTGGCTTCCAACGTGTCTTTATTATCCCAGACAAAAAGGCTGCACCCCAAAAAGACCATCAAACTCGCCCAGCCCCCAGCCCAGGCCCTCTCGGAGCTAAGCTTGGCATTCGTAGCTCAACGTGTAACCACCACGCTGGCCCCAGGGCTGGAACAAAGCCGGGGCCCTGTCCTTCGGATGGGTGTCTCGAACTGAACTCATCTCCCAATTTTCAGCCAAACAATAGACCGTTAACATCTAGAACCCCAAAGACCCAAACTCACTGCCACTAAGTCATTCCGACTCATGGCGACCTTATAGGACCGGGTAGAACTCTTCCTATGGGGTTCTAAGACTGTCACTCTTTATAGGAGTAGAAAGCCTCGTCTTTCTCCCGCGGAGCGCCTGGGTGGTTTCAAACTGCTGACGTTGGCTGTGGTGAGCAGCGCCACATGTACCTGTGAAGCCACCAGGCTCTTTTAAGGTCTACAAGGAAGCAGCAATGTTAGTACACACCCCTCAGAACAGTCCGCCAGTTGGGACCAAGGAGGCAGTGTTCAGCCCAGGGCAGTGGTCTGCAGAGTGAGGAAGGAGAGGTGATGGAGAGGAGGACCACAGGGCCAGGGTGATGAGGAACGGAGTATGGGGGGGGGCGGTAATGAGTGAACTGAAACAAGACGTGTGGGGATCGCTGGCCTTGTTCTGTAAACGCTCCCCCGACCCTCCACAACAACAAGACTCAGAAAAATTAACCACAGAGCAGAGCAGAGAAGGTGAAAGAGTTTTCCAGGGTCACACCGCCAAGGTCCAGCAGAGTTGGCACAGAGCCCGGGCCAGCCTTCCCCATGAGTTGGTACGGAAGCCAGCGTTAGTGAGAGCTGGCCAGGCCCTCTCCAGCCCCTGGGGAGACGCCCTGAACTTCCTCTTCTTGCCCTGCCGGGGGCCCTCAGAACCTTACCTCCAGGCAGGTCGGGACGAATAGCTCTTTGGGCGATGGGCTTGCCTGGCCCGCAGCCTGCTTCCAGAGGGAAACCAGCCCACTGGCTCGGGCTGCCTCACAGGGCCTGGGGCCTGTGGGAGAGAGGGGGCCGTTTGCCGAGGGCCCAGACTGGCCGAGTCTCCTCCCTGTGTCTGATGAGGGTGGTGCCCTTGACCCAGACTGGCCAAGAGTGGAATCCTCCCTTGGGGACATGCATCTCTGGGCTATTCCGTGGGCAGTGGTTCTCTGCACAAGCAGAGGGCAAAGCGGGCCAGGAGTGTGAGAAAGCTCGTTGCTAGGTGTGAGAGGGGAGGTCCCCCCCTCCCTTACCCCCCTCAGCATCTGCTTCCCACCCACAAAACGGCAAAGTGTCCACCTGGCCTGGGGGCTTGGGACGACGTGGTCTGAAGGCGGGCCCATGGGGTCAGCTAGCCTGTCACCCCCACCATGGGAGGGGGGCCGAGAGGGTTCCGGAGCCCCACTTACACTGGGGCACCTGGGCAGGGCGGGTGGCCAGTGAGGCAGGGATGTACTCTCCCTTGCCGTCCACACACCAGCAGTGGCCTGGAGAAGATGACAGGTCAGGAGAGAGTGGAGTCTTGTCCTGGGGCACTGAATCCTCCCCACAGGGCAAGCAGCAAGGGTGCCCTCCAGCCCTCCACCCCACACATCCACATGCGCTGACCCCGCTGCTGGCTGGTAGAAGGCCTCCGACCAGGGGAGGCCGCCAAGCACTTTTGTCACCAGGAGCCAGCGTCCCTCTCACTTACTCCCCGTAAGCGGGGGTTATGAAAGAAAGGGCTGACGTGGCCACTGCCCAGGGGACCCAGCCCCTCACCCGTCCTGTCGTAGCACTGTGTGGGCTCCCAGTTCCCGGAGGCATCGCACTGTGGCACGTAGGGGTCCTTGCTAGAGAGGGTGGCTGCTCCTGCCCAGCCTCCTGGGGAAGTGCCCCGTCTCTGGTAGAAGGTGAAGGCTGGAGGGAGGGAGAGGAGACGCGGCAGTGAGCCTGGGACTCCCCTCTGTACCAGGGACAGCCAAGCAGGTCCTGGAGACACGCAGGAGAGGTCCAGGAACACAAAATCCAGGCCCAGAGACACACAGGACAGACCCAGGGACACACAGGAGAGACCCAGGGACACACAGGAGTCGGTCTTGGGGACACACAGGAGCAAGTCTTCTTGGGAAGTCTACAAACACCCCCCTTCCCCCAACTCTCCCAAGGAGATGGCCATCCCAGCTCGCCATGGCCCCTGCTCTGCCTGACTTTTCTGCTTGGCACCACTAACTGACGACTGACAGTGTTCAGGGCTGTCTCTCCCTTGCTGACAGTTAAGCTCTTGGGGGCAAGGGTGTGTGTTCACTCGTCTTGAGAGCAGAGCCTGGCCCCTAAGACGCTCTTAGGAGATGCTGTGTGAAGCACAGGAGGACACGCCCACCATCACTGGCCGCCTGATGCCGCACCTCAAAGCAAGACTGAGACACCGCCCTCCTCTCGGCAGGGAGCGCACAGTTCTGGTAGAAGTGGGGAGACTGCTGCTGGTGCGGCGTGGACAGACTGCAACCCTCAGACAGAGCAGTGGGCTGCCCAACAGGGCGGCCCTGTGGACAGCGGGGGAGTGCTTCCTCAAACAAGCCGGGAGGGACATAGCATCTGGCCCAGCAGTCCCTCCAGAGGCAAGGAGCACAGCGCCAGCCACAGACACCCTGCGGGTCACACC